TGTCCTGGGCAGCCTTGTGCCCCACCTTTGAAGAGTGAAAATGATCCTGGGGAGCTAAGGCTTACACAGATGGAATGATTACAGGATGGCACTGGGGCATATAATGCAGGTACCCAATATGATAAAGAGAGACTAGGCTGGTGGGAGGTTGCATGGCGGCTGGTATTGCCCTGAAAGGACCCCTTTCTTGGTTGCTCAGCGTTGTCTCAGCAGCTCCACGGTGGAGACATAGTTCAGTAGTTAGCATCCGTGCGATGTAATACGTGAATTTATATGGTTCCTGCAATATAAACTGAGGATTGTATTGATAGAGTCTCCATTTAGTGGTAGCTGGAGTTGATCAAACATTTACACGTGCCAGGCATTGGGCCAAACACCTTGTGCATTCACTGCATTGAATCTTGACCAGAAACTGTGTATGTGTGTCTGTGTCCCTGTGTCCAGGGGAGTGATGAGGAGATACTTGCTAGAGAGGAAGTTTTTACTGTCTCCTTTTAACAGAGGATGGAATCTGGGTATCAGATTTCTAATATCCAGAATTGTATGACTGACTAATACATGTGAAAACAGGATTTAGATCCAGGTCTGCCAGCGTGAAATCTTAATACACTCAACGCCTACACAGTATTGAAATGTAATCACATTTTAATCCTTTGATGAGTTGGTTCCACATCTGTGGAGCGAGGATAACAGCCCTCTGTGAGTGGCCCATAGTTCAAGTTTAAGAAACATTCCCTGGGCATAGAAGTCCCAGGATGGTACTTTGTGGTGTTGGGTTGGGAAGCTTTCGGGGGCACTTACAAAGTGGTTATGTGCTCCAGGCCCCTCCCTTCCATTGGAGCAGCTCTGTTTCTCTGTTCCTACATTTTGGCATTCAGCATCCTGTTGCTTAAAATGGTTTGAAAGCCAGTAACGTCGACTATCACATTACCCCTTTCCTTGACTGTACCAGGTAGCAGAATTAACTGATCGTGATTGAGTACTTTTAATAACCTGGAGTTGTTTTTCACCTCTGAGCTCCTGAGTGGAAACTATTGGAGTATCTGGGATCTTGGAGCTGAAAAAGAAGCAGCCAGATGTGCTAGTGACTTGGGTGTTTCCAGGTCCTTGAGAAATAATGTGCTTTGAACCCTGTGTCTGGCAAAATTAGTTTTGCTGGATCATCCAGCTGGGACCTGGAGATGTTGAGTTGTCCTCTCATTTGGGGTTCATGCCGAGCATTCTCAGAGCAGCCTCTTGTGGTGTGCTAGCAGGCCTTTGCAGACCAAGGGTAAGCACGGGTCCCTCTCAGCCTGGAGCTGGTCCATGGAGGGAGATCAGAATGTTCAGTGCAGTCACCTGGGGCCCTTGGAAATATTCCTGCTGTTGCAAGGCAGGTAGGAGCAAGTCCCTTTGGGACCAAATAAACAGGAACTGGATTTGAAAGTATGGCTGGATGCCTCGGGCATTGGGTGACGAGGAAGGGCTGGTGGCCCTGGGTTGGATCTATCTAATATGGCCCTAGGGTGACCAGCCATCCCCGTCTGCCTGGGACTCTCCAAGATTTAGTGCTGAAAGTTCTGTGTCAGTCCTGGGTAAGCCAGGGAGACTGACTACCCTGCATGGCCCTGGAGCCCAGGCTTCCATCACTGCTTGGCTAGACTCTCTTGAAGACTCCTCAGCTGCCTTCCTGGCTCTACAGTTGCTCATCTTCAGTGCTACTGGAGCCCATCTGGAACTGCCAGTCTGACCTTCTGCTTAAAAACCAAAGTCCTGGGCACTGGCATTTGCTGTGTGCTTGTAGCCATGTCATGGGAGCCCTGTGTTGGACCTGCCAGGAGCTTCCACACCCCTCTGTGTGTCCCCTTTCCTCTCCCTGGCAACTTCATCCCCATCCACTAAGCCCTGGCTGCCTTGTGTTGCCTCTTGAGAAGCCTTCCTTGTCGGAGCAGAAGTATCATTCCTTCTGTATCACTGCTGTCGTGTACTTGTCGCGGTGCATCTAACTGTTCCCACCCCCTTGTCCGGGCGGGGACTCAGCTGCATACAGCACCAGGCAGCCAAGAAGCTTCTGGTGACTGTCTCCAGTGCTTAGTGTTGAAATAACTAATAGCAGAATGGGGAATATTTTGTTGGCAGGTCCTAGAATAGATTCAGTGTTTGATGCTCAAAATTGTGATTTTTAAAACATTTTTCAAGTAGTGGAGCCCACTCCCAACTTTAAACAGAATGGAATCTTTTATATTGAGTGCCATATGTAAGACAATTAAGAGTAGGGAAAAGAAACGGAATTGGAAGTGAGGGTGTGGGAGGCGAGACTATGCCGTCTTCGTGGATCCCCAGAACTCTGGGCATGCTGTGTCAAAGCTGCTTGTTTAAAAGCTTCTGGGGCTTATGGTTCTGAAGAAGTCCATTTAATCAGCTGAAGGGGCCCCGGGGTGAGGGGCTGGGCTCTGGCTCCAGCCTTAACCAGGCCGGGCTCTGCCACCTCTGAACAGAGTTACCTTCGATTAAAGGGCACCGCTGTATTTTGTTTTGTATTTTGTTAAAAATACGAAACCAAGCCAGACCTGTCCTCAATTCACTCTTGGTGCCCTGGTTGGCACGCGGCTCCGAGCTCCTGATGGGAGGAACAGCTGGCGATCTATTTTAATTAGTGGCAAGTACCAAGTGATTGAAAATAGACTGTTAGAAAACTCAGCCGGCCTCACCCCTCATGCCTGACAAATGGTGGGGACGCTGTCCGTGTGGGATTTGAAGAGGGCTGGCGCTGAGGCCTGCTCAGACGCGTGCCTGATGTCCCATTGACTGGGCTGATGGTGACTGTCGTGTTCAGGCAGTGACATAGGTTTTAGTCCTCTTCAGCCTTGCCCTGGGACAGGTGAGTTCCCAGGAGAAACGGAAACCCCTTGACCTTGCTGGCCTTCTGTATTTGATGAGCGCCTCACTGAAAGTGGGAGGAATGGTAGCCCAGGATGGGAAGTGAGCCAGCAGACACGCTCTGCCAGAGGGGACCCTTGAATGGGAGCCGCCGGGCAGTTTGATGGCGGATGGCGAGACCTGCTGCCAGTCCCTCGTAGCTGTGAGCTAATCGTTTCACTGCAAGCTCTCTCTTTGTAGAGGGTTGCTACCCCTTCTTTTGTCCGTTTTTGCAGGGGACGTTCTTAATTAGGAAGACTTTCATCAGAAGGGGCTTGGGGAGTGTCTGGTAAGGTGGGAACAGAGGATGCTATAATTGTATGAGATGGCACTGATACAGGAGGGGAGGGGGCAGGGCACAGCCATGCAAGGGATGACAGCAGTTAACACCAAAATGATGGAAGATTCAACTTCTGCCAGGCTTTGAGGCCCAAGGTGGCGGGAGATTTGACTTCCAGTAGACCTTGAGCTTCATCATATGCTCATTGTAATATGTTAACATTTTAAATGACACTCCCACAGGCGCCATGACAGCTCCGAGTCTAACCATAAAAGGGCAAAGAGTGGGCGGTGGCCCGGTTCCTGGGAATCCCAGCCCCTTCCCCAGGGCAGTTGGAATGGCCCTTCCACTTGTTGGGATGTGAAGCTACCGAGCCCATAAAAACTGGCAGCACTGCGCCTCTTGGCACTCTCGCTCCCTCCTCTTAGGAGACGGCCCACGCTCTGTCTATAGAGTGCGTATCCACTTTTACTTTAACCTGAGCACTCAACCCCCACACCTCGTGGCCTTTCTCTGGACTTCTGAAACAGCCTGCGCTCTAGGTAGTATGTATCTCTCTAAATAAATCTATCTTTACTCAACTGTGGCTCCCTCTTGAATTCTTTCCTGCACAAAGCCAAAGGCCCACGCTTGGCAGGGCACGTCCCAGGGGCTCAACCGAGACCTGGGCACGGCCCTCCTCTGACCCCACATTTGTTTTCCCTGCTTCAGCCCCAATGGGTGGCTGCATCAAAACGCTTTAGTGGGTCCTGGGTTTGTTTTGGGGAGAAGTGCCCGTGACCCTCTTGCTGGTGAATGTGTGTCTGCCATCTCTCCCCCCTCAAGTCTGAGAGCATCTGGCCATCTAGCAGGTCCAGAGGGATGGGCCGAAGTTGCTGATAAAGATTCGGGCGTTTTTGCCTTCTTTTTCACCACTTGATGGCTCATTTGCTTCCATCCTGGGTTCTGTGCCAGGTCATCCTCGCCTTCCAGGAACCAGCATCCCAGGTGCTGTGGGTGTGGTGCTCGGGGACAGGCACGGGCTCTGGGGTCAGGTGAACCTGGGGACAAACCCAGCAGTCATTTCCCGCTGTGTGATCTTAACCAAATGACTCAGCTTCTGAGCCAGTCACTTCCTTTGCCACCCAGGCCAGCTTAGAGTCTGTGGTAGCCTGTGGGTTTCATGCTGTTGGCATTGTTAGTGAAGAATTCCTTATGTGAGGATTTACAGCTTTCTCAGGAGCAGCAGCCTCCTCGCTCATTGCAGTAGAAAACTTTTCTAGAGAGCTAGACCTGGGTTTAAATCTTGGTTTCAATTACTTGACCTGAGCCTTGGTCTTCTCACCTGGAAATTGGGATCATAATGCCCAATAGGGTTGTTGAGGATTAACTGAGATAATATTTATAAAGTGACCATCACTTAACGAATATTTCTCTTCTGTTAAAATTATCTACATATGGGGCCTTAAATAAATAAACTAAACCTTCCTCATACTTGCCTCTGTCTTCGCATCTTTACATTACCACCGTAATCCAGAGGCAAGCGCAAAAATCTGAACTCTGCCCCAGAGACAAGAGGTGAAGACAATGTTCTGGGCTTCATTTTTTTCAAAAAAGCCAGATAGAAGTCAAAACAGAAGATGAATTTGATCTTTTAAATAAATCAACGGTGAAACCTTGCTTCCTTGATTTTAGCAGTGGTTTTGACCACATTTAGAAGGAATTGAAGAGATTTAGAAAGGGCATTGAATTAATGTAATCTTCTAAACTTTTGGGGGCACACCATAAACCCAGACACCATACATATTTTGACAACATAAAAATTAAGCATTTCTGTATGGCAGAAACACCATGAACAAAATTAAGAGACAAACATCCAGCTGGAAACAAGTAATTGCAAATACACAACCAACAAAACTATTTTCGTTGAGAGGGGAGGGGAAGAACTCAGTGGTAGAGCGTGTGCTTGGCACGCACGAGGTCCTGGGTTCAATTTCTAGTACCTCCATTAAAAAAAAAACTTACTAAAAAATGATTTTCGTTAATATATGAAGCGCTCTTTTAGGTTATTAAGAAATGATGATTATTTATTTTTAAAAAGGCAAAACGTGAGTAGAAAATTCACAGAGAAAGGAATTCACACAATCAGTCAACAGTTCAAAATGTGTTAACCCATGCAAAAGAAAGATACCAAGTTTAAAAAAAAATGAGACCAGTTTGATCTAGGAGGTTGGCAAAGATTAATTGTACGTAACATAGGACACTGGTGAGAGGGGAGCTCGCCTGTTGGTTTATGTGGGAATTGGAGAGACTTTTTAGGAAGATAATTTGGTAACCTCTTCCAAATTAAAACCATAGAACATATGTATGTATATGCAAGACTGGGACACTGTGCTGCCCATGAGAAACTGACACATTGTAATTGACTGTACTTCAATTTAAAAACCTTTGTTTTTAAAAAGCTATAAATCTTTAGAACCGGCAATTCAAACCTTTTTCTTAAAATATGGCAGTTAAAAGCCTCCTATTTTTATACATTTTTATGTATGTATATATGCTTTATAAAATATTTACATACGTTTTCATGTATGTACCTAAGGCCACTCAAGAAACATTAATAATGGTTACTTTTGGGGTGTGGAGAAGAAGAGAGATGTTTGCTTTTCATTTGTCTCATTTTTGTACTGTTTGAACTTTTAAAATCGGCTGTTTATATTTTATTAGTTTTACAAAGTTCAAATTGTTTTCTAGACGTAACAGCGTGCTCAACAATAAAAGGAATCTTACCTCCGGCCTTACTGTCTCTCACACAGATCCTCCAGTTGGCACTAGCATTTTGTTTAACAAATGAACCATCAAGGAGCAAATGCAACATGAGATGTTTTCTTACTACATTGCCTCAAATACCGCCCGTAATCATTGAGCAGAAGGATCTCGCCGCACCTTCCTGGGTCCTCTGCCTTGTGGCTGTGTACCCAGGAACCCTGCTATGTACCTGTATATTCGCATGTAACATGTTCTGTATTTTCTGTGAGTCTCATGACCCCCGGGGAAGTCTGCATTGTGAGCCCTGTTCTGCAGATGAGGTCCACAGAGAAAGCCATTCAGGTAGTAAAGCAGGTGAGCTGGATTTCAAAACAGAGCCTAGCCACCCATCTCTAAGGTCCAGCTCTTAACCACTGCTCTACGAGGGCCCGACTATGTGTGGTGTGAAGTGGGCGCTAGGGGAGGGCGCCCACCCACTGTCCCAAGGGGGGGTCACCTTAGGATTAAGATTTAGCTCCAGGAATCACAGTGCTGGGCCTGCCTCAGAGATACTGGACCCTGGAAAGAGCAAAGCCCTTGGCTCTGGCAGTTGTGATGGTGTGTGCTTGTGGTGGGGGCGCCTGGGAGGAGGGATGCAGACGAATGTCTGTTTTGATAGAGTCTGAAAAGAGAGGGAGGCGTGACATTCCTTCCTGGGCACGGAATTATCAGCAGCACTTTATTATTTGTGGTTTCCCTTCAGCCCATCAGCAGATACTGCAAAACCGCCATTCTTGATGGAGCTGTCCCCTTCAGTGAATCCAGCTGGGCTGGCCTTGACTCCTGACCAACCGGGGGCAGCCTCAGCCGCCTCAATCCCCCGTGGCCGCCGATTCAGCAGATTGCACGTGTCCTGGGCTGCAGAGTGCTGATGCAGGTGGTTCTTCTTTGATTTCCTTTTCATCCCCCATGACAACTACCACATAGTTTTCCCTACAAACTGGCTGACGTCCCACTCGTAGGGGAGGCTCAGAACAGGAGTGCCTGGAAAAGTCACCCATGGCCACAAAAGGGGCACAAGTCACCCTGGATGGGGTTGAGGCCACCCCAGTTATCTAACAACTGTAGCTGGAGGGGTGGGGGGACCTCCAGGTGCCAGGGAAGGGATGGAAAATGAGTACCCCTGAGGAGGAATGCTGAAGTCACTGGGGAAGATTCCAATGGCTTTTCTTGGACAGCCTTCTTCAGTCTTCCCTGTCAGAGCTGCTTTTACTTTATCAGTCTGAGAGGCAGCCCTAACACTGGGCCTGGGAGACTCAAATGTGGGTGTCTGGCGGTGTTTGCTGAGACCCCAGATGGGGAGCTTCTAGTACTTATTGTGAGTGTGTTAAGTTCTTGGCACTGTGCTGGGTGCTTGAGGCACGTTACCTGGTTCTCCTCCTCACATCAACCACATGAGGTATGATGTTCCCATTTTAGAGATGAGGCTGCCGAGTCTCCGAGGCTCAGGAGTTTGCTGCAGCCAAAAGGGGGCTGGAGTTCTGATGTGGGTAACGTGGGCTCCAGGCCCAGTCTCTGTGGTCATTCCCACCAGACCATGGTTGTGCAGAGACAAGTCCCCATGGCATCGTGGGTGGATATGACCACCCCATGTTGCCCCTCTGACTACAGCCTGTGGGTAGCGCCCTCAGGGAGCCTGGGAGAGGTAGCTTTTCGCAGGGCCAGTTACTGCAGCTGAGAGGACCTGGGTCAGAGCAGTTCTTGTGTCATGTGGTCAGAGCACTGCCCTGGCCCTCTGATCCGTTCTCCCTTACTTCAGTGCCAGTGTCCCATCAGGAGGGGGCCGAGTGTTGACAGACATGCCAATGAGAGAATCCTGCAGGAAAGGATCCTGGCTGTTCCAGCAGGTGTGTGGCAGGGCGCTGGTGGAGCCACTACTGGTGGAGGAGGCTGCTGAGTGGATCTTGTGCCCCAGCCCTTGCCCGCATCCCAGCCCCAGCCCCAGCCCCAGCCCTGGCTCTGGCCTCTTCAGCACTTTCATTCTGGGCCATACAATGGTGCATGTCCCATTAACTGCTACTATTGTCTGGAATCTGGATGTTTCCTGTTCTGCACTGCTTGTTTCCTGGGGGGACTGGACGGTGCCTCCCTGGTGACACCTGAGATCTTGACCCACCTGGGTCCGTGGCGTCTCCCTCTGCCGGCTCCATCTCAGCGCTGTGGCTTGTCTGAGTGGCACAGCTGAGTGGCCTGACTCTTGTCTTAAATACTCTTAGGTCAGTATTCTCTCACATTTGAATAAGCCTGGAGTCTTTTTTTGGAGGGTCAGGGGCACCTGCTTGACTTATTTGCTCGGCTACTTTATTCATAGCCAGCTGGATCCCATTCCACTCCATCACGTGACCCTCTCATCCTGCCCAGCCAGGGACGTTGCCATCACTGTATACAAACATTAAAGAGTGAATTTTGTACAGGGGTCGTAATTGGGCAGAAGGCCCAGGGGCCCGCAAGCTTGTAGCGGCCTGTTGGGTGTCCCGGGGGTTGTGAAGAACAAAGCCGAGGCATGGTCTCCTGGTGCGGGGGTGATGGGCCCTGGGAGCTCGGTGAGGACTTGGCTGAAGGCCCTCGGGAAATAGTCAGCTCTTGCGATGGGTGGGCATTCCCATTGCTGGCTATGACATTGTCTCATTGTTCACGTGAATTCTAGAAGTGATATGCTTGGCATTAGGGAAAGGAACCAGCAATACATTAAGATGTACAGACAAAGGGAAGACCTGCTGGCCACCTCATCGCCTGGAGGTGACCAGGGTTTGTGGCGGATTCTTAGGTTTTAAGTTTTGGTCTCTGGGAAACAGTTACACCTTGTCTTTCT